ATCACCTAAAAAAATAAAGATAATTTTTTTACAGATTTTTTTCTACCTTTTCCTAATGCCTTAAGAAAATAAATAAAAAATTGGAAAACATCCTGAGACAAAATAATCATAATTCATGCATGAAAGTCTTTATTGTATTTTTCAAATTATTAGTTTTCTCACATAGACCTATTTGTGTCTTTAATAAAGCTAATGAAGATAAATTGCACAGAACTTCAGCTGAAACTTTTAAGTTGTTCCAAAGTAAAAAACTAAAATATCCCAAATTACATTATCACTCACATTATATTAAAAGTACAACTTGAATTTACATAATTTTAAATACATGTTTTAACATGTTATTTTAGTTTCACTGAAAAAAAGAATATAGTAGAACCAACTTAATTGAATAGCTTCAGTTGGTAACAAGTAATTCAATTAAATTGAACCAACTTACTTTACTACACCACTGCACTGCGGTTAGCACAAGGTGTGTCCCCGGTGAAGCTTGCGTCATGATGCAAGCTTCACTGAGTATTCTCTAAAACGTATATTTTTAGCGCACACTTAAGTTCAATGCTGCATTCGTATCCTACAGCTGACATCATGACACAAGTTTCACCAGAGACAGTTCCTGTACCAACTGTGGTCCACTATTGGTGTAGGGGTATAGCACAACCCACATGAAGAAACCTTAAGTCCTTGACGTGGCCATTGTAAGCTTGATTTCAGTCTGATAATCTTAGTTGCGTGTCTTCCCTCTGTCAGTACCTACTTCCCTGTCTAACTACTCTCAAAATAAAGGCTGCCTGAGCCATAAAACCCTGGTAGAAAACAGATCCTTTGTTAGTTTACTTATTGATTTGAAGTAAGCTAAATGATTTGAGTTAAACTGATTTAAGTTTGTAATTTTAAAGAAACTTAATGAATTCAGTCAAAAAAATTATAAATTGGGTTGGTGAACTTAACGAATTGAGTTAGAAGATCATAATACATTGAGTTGAATAAACTTAATTGAGTTGGACAAACTTCATTGAATTACTCATACATTTATACACCAATATGCAGATTAGTAGGCAAGATGTGGCAGAAGACAGCTGGACTTGAACTTACAACCTTCCAACAACAAGACAACTACTGTACTCAGAGAGTCACAGTTGCATAACAGGGACCTGAGCACTGGGGAAAATGACATCTTCTTCTTTTACCCTATCAAGATCGGTGGCAACCAACTTAACGAGACTTTACCGCCACCTACTGGTGAAGAACATTGTGTCCGATTCTACATTTCACTTCTCTTAACTTCCATGAAAATTATTCATAAAAAATTTAAAATCGGAAATTTAATTATTTAAACTTTATTAGTATCGTTTAACTAGTCATATCCAATAGATTCTAGAATTGATTAGATTATGTAGATGATTAATTTAAAAGAATATGTATACTACATGAGGTTTTAAAAACAAACAGATGTTAATGCATAAACCTTAACTCTGCCATTAATCTTTTCTGAGTGTTCAATTCTCATAACATCAATGAAAACCAAACACATAAAATTTAAATACCAGAATCTTGTTTGCTTTACCACTTTAATTATTTAAACTTTGCTAGCATAACTAATTACTTTCAATATATTCTAGAATTGATTACATTATATCAATAATGATTTAAAGGCAGGTATGTATAGAATATGAGCTTTAAAAAAAATCAAACAGATGTAAACATATAAAGCCTAACTTTGCCATTAATCATTTCTGAGTCTCGGGTTGCCTGGCATAAAAACATAGTACTACTAAGTACTATGATGCACCATGTATGTGTGAAGCTAAACATGTGAAGCTTACCTTCAGACATACATGTGCGAGAGAGAGCTAACATCGGCAAACTTGACCTTGTGTTTCTAAGTGTTGGCTCACTTGACTGCAGGCTAAATGTCAAGCTACTGTAAATCTACAAATAAACATAAAAAAAATAAGGACACACTAGAAATGTTCATGGTAGGCAAACAAAGGCAAAAAAACACCCAAAAACAGATCAACGAATTGAAAAACAAAAATAAGTGAACTACATGATATTAGATGAGGAACTTTTATGAGTTAACAAATGTGTACAGGTTCTCAATCCCACATCTTTATGTGTTTTGACTGTACTAGTAACTGAGTGACCGGCACTGGCAGATGATACAGGAAACTATTTATTTTCCTAGCATTGGAAAGGATAGTAACTACCATGTCCAAGCTGGCCACCTACTGGACTGTCTATTCCTGTCATGTTTGGATTAAGGCTTCTTGCCCAAATGCAGAACACCACAGGAGACAGAAAATCAGTTTAAGGTTATTTATTACAAAATAAAGAAAGGTAATGGGGTGGACTGGGTCCAGAAGGGAATTCTTGAAGACGGAAGCTCACTACGGGACAGCGAGAAGAAATGGTGAATTCAAGGAAATGGGAAACGGGAAGAGCAAGAGCGAATACTTCTGATCTTATTTTGAGCAGAAAGGATCTTGGTTTGGGTTCTGGGTTGTGTTTGGCTGAAACAATACTTGTTTGATCCAGGTTCCAAAAGTGCAGCTGGGCTGAGCAGAGGCCAGGAATCTACGATGGAGGGTGGACAGGTACATTCTGGTTCAACGGTGACGGAGGAAGCGGTCCAACTGCCAGCCGGAGAAAACTGGAGAATCTTGAAATCCGACAGGAGAGGTGAAAGTGGGACTAGGGTAACCAGTGGATAACATCCACGGCGTCACAATGAAGGCTTAATACAAAAGCCACAGTGGGAGTTTCTCAGGGAGGATCCAAAAAATGACACGAGAGAAAACACCTGAAGAGCACAGAGGGCAACGAAGACTTACTCAGAGAAAACTCAGAGGAATATACTCAAGAGGCGAGCTCCAGGGGGCTCAGTGTGTCATTCTGGCAAAACACTCGAGTGTTGAAGTGCTGGCAGTCAGCTTATTTTCATTTTCAGATGATGATGAGATGATAACCCACAGGTGTGCACAATCATTGGCACTCCCCTCCAGTTAGACAGCCTCTGGCGCTATTTGATGGACAACCAGTGAAACCACCAGCAGGATCAAAACAAAGAAAACAGAGAGAGAGAGAAAAAAAAACAACAACAGAAACCCCAGAACCCAACAGTAACACCCCTCAACGATCGCCACCTGGCAGCCAAGAAGAACTGTAAGGGAGCAACGAATGGTAATCATCAATAAGCGAAGGATCAAGGATAAAAGATCCAGGGACCCAGGAACGATCCTGTGGACGGTAGCCCTCCCAGTCGACAAGCTGTCGCCACCCATGACCCTGCCGACGGGAATCTATGATCCGGTGGACAGAAGAGGCCAGATGGCCATCAATGACACTGGCGTGGGGAGGAGGCTCCGAAGGAGGGCATAGTGTGCTGGTTTGGATAGTCTAATTTAAGGGACGTGGAAGGTAGGGTGAACACGCAGGGAGGCAAAGACGAACTGCTGACAGGCTGATGGTGCTTTCAATGACAAACAGACCAATGAACCTGGGAGAGAGCTTTTTAGACATGGACTTAAGGGGAATGTTCTGAGAGGATAGCCAAACCTCTTGTCCGGGAGTGTAGATGGAAGCGGGTTTGCATTTGCAGTCAGCTCCTTTTTATGATGAGATTATCATCTCATCATATCATGATGAGATGACAGGCTGATGGTAGACAACCTCTGGCGCTATTTGATGGACAACCAGTGAAGCCACCAGCAGGACCAAAACAAAGAAAACGAGAGAGAGAGAAGAAAAAAAAATAACAGAAACCCCAGAACCCAAAAATTCCCTCTATCGTCTTTTAGCACATATAGGCAGGCATTACCAGTGAAGAGAACTAGGATGGCCTGTTAATTGCATACTATTTAAACCGACAGCTATTGAGTTGTTAAAATATTACATTTCAAATATAAACAAAAAAATGCCATTCTCCACTTTTCGTAAACCGTATTTTCCAGACTATAAGTCGCTCCGGAGTATAAGTTGCACCAGCCATAAAATGCATAATAAAAAAGAAAAATACTTACATAAGTCGCACCGCAGTATAAGTCGCATGTTTGAGGAAAATTTATTTGATAAAATCTAACACCAACAAGAAACATGTCATCTTGAAAGGCAATTTCAAATAAATACAGAATAGAGGCAGCGACAGGCTGAATAATTGTACGGTATGCTAACATTACATGACAAACAACAAAGTGAGAACGTGCCTGGTATGTTAACATAACATATTAAGAGTAATTCAGTTAAATAACATGCTAACAAGTTTACTAAACCATCCGCGTCACTCCAAATCACTAAATGCAATGAAATCTTCGTCCTCTGTATCGCTTGTAAACAACTCCGCTAACTCCGAACGTAGAATAACACAGACCTAGAGCGTCCTCTTGCGGTTTAGTGTGAAAATAACATGTGATATGATATAATGATGTGATCATTTCCACATATAAGTCGCTCCGGAATATAAGTTGCACCCCCAGCCAAACTATGAAAAAAAAACTACGACATAGTCCGGAAAATACGGTAATATTCATAGATAATTGTGGAAATTGATCCATTCAACAATTCTGAATCTTATATAAAGAGCAGTATGGAATAGTTAGCCTTTCCAATGCTAATCCCAACTTATTTGTTCAAATGAACAGCAGAGTGTGTTGACATTTCAGTGGTAATCTGCCCAGGCCTGCCAGTCACTAGCTTCTCAAAAGGTAACCCAAGTGGGTAGAATCTACTTATTTGTCAGCATTGACCACTGAGTTACAGGTTCCAGGCAATTGCAAAGGATATAGCTTCCAGTAACAAGGACGCAGCAAACTCTTTAATTTTGGGCCCAATACGGCACCATAATTTTCCATTGATTTGAGTACTATCCAAAGACAGAACTGCTCTGAGTTGAAACCAGTTCAACTCATATTAAAAACATTGCTAGACATGAAGACTATGAAACCTTTACATATTAATCTAGACTGTGTGTTGCAAAGATGATTAAATTAATGGCATGTACATACTTTTCTTCCTTCCAGTGTCAATGTCCGAAGTGGCAGCCTCACAGAGCAGAATTATCCCAGCAGTAACTGCTCCGTCTTACAGTGAGGTTAAGGCTGAAACAAGCTTGATTTAGGTTTGCACAGAACTCATCATCTTACAAAGCTGGAGAAAGGTTTCTAAATTTGTTGAATATGTAGGAAAATACAGAATCTTATGTCCTATGTGCTTTTGGGCCTTTATTTTATGACTCCAACTGCCTCTCTTTGGAGGAAAACATCTGTATTTATGTTTTTGGATTACCAACTGTAAGCTCATTCTGGTTTTCCCCTATCTTCCCTTCTTCAACGCCTCTCAGCCTGTCTTTATTATCCTTGCTTTATTACTTATACATATAAAATTACATTACGAGGCACCAATCATAGTGATTATTTTTGCTATTAGTAAAAATAAGAATCATACTTCAGTCATTAACCCATTTCCCCCTGGCCTGGCCTAAGACTATAATGATTTTCTATAAATCAACATTGAATCATACAAAATTATACAATCTGAAAATGTCACAAAAAATTATATATATTTTCTTAAATTGTTGTATCAAAGTTGCCAACATCTTCTGAATTTTCTGATATGCCAGGTAACTGGGATATTAGCAAATTCTGATATGCCAGAATTTTCTGGCATATCAGAATATGCCATATTTCTGGCATATTGCTTGGCAGGTAGTTACCTGCTTGGCAGTTGCCAAGCAATAAAAAACGTATCAAAAATTTGATAATGTATATGTCTTCAACATCTTCGACTTACAATTTGGACAGACGCATTATCTACCGTGTCCCCCAAGAATCCATAATGTATCCCCCAGCCTTTGTCCCATCGGGCAAAGAGAGCTCTCTTTGCCCAGTCTCTTGCCGAAAAAAAATTATCAATTGCATTGAGAGACCAGAGGACAAAATCCAAAAATTTGGAATTCACAAGGAGAAACTATACACGAGAGTGATGCAGAGTCACTTGAGGTATGCAAAAGCACATGGCAAGCCAGGTTCATCTTGGAATAAGGTGCTGTGGATTGATGAAACAACAATTAAGTTGTTTGGTCACAACAATGGCTGTTATACAATGGCTAAAAACCAGAATTACAAGAAAAACACTTGCTGCCCACTGTAAAATTTGTTGGAGGTTCCATTATGTTTTGGGACTGTCTGGCCAACCAGAACTAGGAGTCTTGCTAAAGTTGAGGATTGAATGAATTCCACTCGAAATCATCAATTCTTGAGGAAAAATGTACAAGAACCAAAGTGACCACGTCTGGGCGAGGGAACACTATCTCCAATGATTGTCTTCACCATAAGATGTCTTTGCGGTAAGAGGTGCCAGTTGAGGTAGCTCCTCGCTCGTCAAGGAGCAGGCCCAAGTGGCTGGGGACAGGGAAGTCTGGGGCTTCTTAATAAAGCTGCTACTCCCATAACCCGACTCTGGATAAGCGGAAGAAGATGAAGACCTGTGGGATGATTCTATGCTTGGCAACCATCAAGCCTAACTGAACTGGATTTGTTTAAATACCTTCATCCAGGATCCAGACACTCATTAGAAGCTGCATACTCTAATGATTGTTTCTGGTTGTAGTTCATTTTATGGATCTATTTACATTAATCTCAAGTGAGATTAATGTAACCCGCACCAGAACGCCCGCATGTCGTTTTTCCGGGGCTGAAATTCAAGGATTTAAACTCTGTCGGAGTCCATTATGACGCTTTTATTGGGCAGCCTAGAGCCCCCCTTTTGATTGACACCGCATTCGACCAGTACAGTGAACCCTCGCTATAACGCAGTTCATCTTTCACGGACTTGCTGCTTCACGGATTTTTTTGTGCACTTTTTTTTCACAGTACATTGTGTTCTGCGTCCTGATAGGCTAAACAGTCTCCGTGCTTCTTCTCTAAATAATGTTACGGTATTTAAATATACGTAATACAGCTTTGCAAATTTTGACAAATATTTTTGCCCAGACAGAAAAAGAGCAACTACCAATAACTATGTTCTTCTCTCGAAAACACACACCTGCACCACAAGCTTCAGAAGAAAAAGACACTGCAGAGCGGAGTCAGAGGCACAGTGAAATATGCAATACTTTGTATTGATTATTAAAATGATTATTTTACTGTAGTTATTTGTAAGAAAGCATTATATTTGTTACGAAAAAATGTTTGGGCATGAAAACAAATTTTGTTCTTTGGTTTCAATGTAGAGTATTTAATTATGCTAGGTAACTACTTCACAGACTTCGACTATCACAGGTTCTTTTTGGAAAGCAACCCCCGCGAAAAATGAGGGTTCACTGTAATATTGTGAAAGGGCTTTTTCCAAGCCAGTAATATTCAGAGGGCGACGTGAGCTTGTTTTGACATGCCTATTCACTTTATGGAATATTTCTGACTGGTCAACTCGGACACTAAATCTAAAGCCACCAATGTGTAGCCAACACATGTCCAGTCATAAGGATATCAGGCATTTTGGGGCATTTTTTATAGTGTAGCTTATTAGTGTAATGTACACTATTTTTTGTCACGGACTGTGTTTGTAACACGTTTTGTGTGCTGAGGAGCTATCATAAACAGCAGAGAACAAATTTGAGGTCAGACAGGCAGTTTTCTTGCCTCATGGCAGGGGGCACTCATGATCCCAGATATTGGTCTTCTGACTCCATAACTGCGAGGATTGCTCCACAGTCTTCAGAGCAGCCCACAGTCATCGGCTACTCCGAGCACTTCTCTAATGAAAGATAATTCCCTCCACCATAGACCTCTACCCATCAGGATGCAGGGGTAGGGAGCTCCACATTGTGAAAGACTCCACCCATCCTGGAACAGATTCTTGAGGGAAGAGTCTGTTCCAGGTAAATAGGAAGGTGAGAAGCATGCAGGCAAAAAAAAAAAAAAAAAATGGCTGAAACACAGTTTCTTCCCTAATAGATACAGTGCATGGTTCTCCAAATTTAAAGTTTTAATAGGTTGCTTTGGTCTAAACTAAATTAAAAACAACCCCCTTGAGACTTGCAGGAGTCACTGAAACTGAACTGGTTCAGATACAAGTGCACATTGCAACAAAGAGGGCCAGCAGCTGTTAACTGGCATGCCAGTTTCACAGGCATGCTCTGTGAAACTGGCTCTGAGGTTGCACAGCTTGGCTAAATCAAAGGAAATGAAGGCTGGTAGGAACCAGGCGAATCTTCCTTGATAGGCCAGCTTAAACAGAGGTTGCTTCAGTTCAAGACTGGATAATACCCAACAGATTCCCGGAACTCAAATTACCCATTAGTCAGAGAGCTGGCAGCACATAGCGCCCTCTCAGAAGAAGTAGAGAAAAGGTGGGTGGGGGTGTTTGGATTGGGGTGCACGAGCAGTGACATACTACAGACTTCCTGTCTCTACATAACAGTGTTAGATCAAATCCTGACTAGAGCATAGATTATCATATATTGCAATTTTGTGGGATATAACAAAGCTGAGTGTTATATGATAGAGAGGAAGTTTGTAAAAAAAAAAACATTTGTCTAGTTAGTCTAAGAACTAATTGCTTTGTATTCTAAAAATATTTCACTATTGAGTGAAGATCAAACAGTTTTAGGAAGGAAAAACAGTAAATAAAATATTATTGGTGTTGCAATCCGTGTAAGTTAAAAATGTCAAGATGGAAAAAAACGAAGGATACTGAAGAGTAGGACAATGTGCGTCTCGGCCACAAACTGGGCTTGGCTGCTCCCATGGATGTAACTCTGAAAACATAGTTAAAAGTTTTAGTTCATGTATAAATTCATCTTAAAATCAGAAAACATCTTTTTTTGTTTGCTTGAGACATAGCTGCAAGAACAAAACTGACTTTTCACACTATATACACAATCTGTGTTATGTATAACAGTTTTACAAAAAATTCCTAATCAAGTCCATTCAATGTATCGCAAAATTTTGGATGACAACCTCCTTGCCTCCTCAACTCTACGAATTTAGAGATTATCTATAGGGAGAAGTGGGCCAAAATGACTCCTTAAGTGTGTGCACACCTTATAAAAAATTACAATAAACGTCTGGCCGCTGTGCTTACCAACAAGGGTTTTGTCACCAAGTGTTAAATGATGTTTCACTGGAGGGGTCAAATACTTATTTCCTGCACTGTACATACATACATACATACATACATACATACATACATACATACATACATATTGTTGAAATAGAATTTTAAACTAGCACAATAGTACACAAGTTAACTTTTACGTTAAGATAAACTTAGATACAAATCCAAACTAAGACAACTGGTGACTCTCTGAACTTACATAAATTTCTAATCAGAAAGCAGTCTTATACTCCTTAAGGAACATTTCAGATAGGGAGTGTATTGGCTATCAGGGCAATAAATTCTTTACTCAGGGTTGAATAGTTCAGGCAAACATTAAAAACTATAGAAGTCTGTTCCAACATATATCAAACATATTGGTATATTTCTTTAAGCATTAAAAGCATGTTTTTAATGAGTTAGTTTTAGATCCAACTTATAGTCATTATTTAGCATTACATTTTGTGCAAGCTTGGTTAAAAATACAAACTACTTTCTTGTGGAATCATTTGAGGCAGAAAACTAAAACAGACAGAGGTCGTAAATTTAGCTCAGGGAGATTGCAGGAGACGCCTGGTACGGCAAAGACCCAGTTTGACAAAGAATATATCTGCCTTTGGGCTCTTTAGCAGGAGGTAATAAAATCAATGGGAAGGCCCACAAAGGAAAACACACCTCCTAATGCATATATTTAAATGAGGAGAATACACATTCTTATAAAATGGTTTGTTTTACATCAGAAGTTCGAATCTCTTTGTGCTGAGTGAGAGTTTCCCAAAAGATGCATCTTTTGTTTGTTTCTGTTTCTGTTTCCCTTTTTACTCAGTTAATTGTTTCTGTTTTGTCATGTCTTGGACTTTTGATGATCTAGGTGAGATGCTTATTGTAACATTCTTCTTGGATTGATTTTCTCTGGATAAAACTCTGGATATCTGAAGTCTGACTTCGTATGATTGCTCTTTCTCCCTGCACATATATTGAGACACAGGAATCCAGGACAAGAGGAATAAATTAACGAGCTAAATCAAGTTATTCCTCTTTTTAATTCTTAACAATATATATATAAAAATTCCCTTCTCACCCACCGCGGGTGGTTCTTATCCTCTGAGCTCGGGTCCTCTACCAGAGGCCTGGGAGCTTGAGGGTCCTGCAGTATCTTGGCTGTGCCCAAGGACTGCACATTTCTGGACTGAGATGTCTGATGTTGTTCCTGGGATCTGTTGTAGCCACTGCTCCAGTTTGGGGGTTACTGCCCCGAGGGCCCCGATGACCACAGGCACCACTGTGGTCTTCACCTTCCAGGCCCTCTCCAGTTCCTCCCTGAGGCCCTGGTATTTCTCCAGTTTCTCGTGCTCCTTTTTCCTGATGTTGCAATCACTTGGTATTGCTACATCTACCACAACGGCTTTCCTCTGATGTTTATCCACTACGACAATGTCTGGTTGGTTCGCCATTACCATTTTGTCTGTCTGGATCTGGAAGTCCCACAGGATCTTAGCTCTGGCGTTCTCCACCACCTTTGGGGGTGTTTCCCACTTTGATCTTGGGGTTTCCAGTCCATATTCTGCACAGATGTTTCTGTACACTATGCCTGCCACTTGGTTATGTCGCTCCATGTACGCTTTCCCTGCCAGTATCTTGCACCCTGCTGTGATGTGCTGGACTGTCTCAGGGGCCTCCTTGCACAACCTACACCTTGGGTCTTGTCTGGTGTGGTAGATCTGGGCCTCTATTGCTCTGGTGTTTAGGGCCTGTTCCTGGGCTGCCAGGATGAGGGCCTCTGTGCTGTCCTTGAGTCCAGCTTTTTCCAGCCATTGGTAGGATTTACTGATATCAGCCACTTGGGTTATTTGCTGGTGGTACATCCCATGTAGGGGTTTGTCCTCCCATGATGGTATCTCTGGCACCTCAACCTCCGTTCCCTGTTGTCTGAGACATTCACTGAGCACATTGTCTGTTGAGGCTTTGTCCCTGATGTATTTATGGATCTTAGTTGTTTTCGTCCTGGACAGTGGTTCTCACACTCACTAGTCCTCTGCCTCCTTCCTTGCGGCTCGTGTACAGTCTCAGGGTGCTGGATTTGGGATGGAACCCTCCATGCATTGTTAGTAGCTTTCTGGTCTTAATATCTGTGGCTTTTATCTCCTCCTTTGGCCAGCTAATTATTCCAGCAGGGTATCTGATTACTGGCAAGGCATAGCTGTTTATCGCACAGATTTTGTTCTTGCCATTGAGCTGGCTTCTCAGGACTTGCCTTATTCGTTGGAGGTATTTAGCTGTGGCTCCTTTCCTTGTGACCTCATCGAGGTTGCCATTTGCTTGTGGTATACCTAGGTACTTGTAACTGTCCTCTATGTCTGCTATTGTTCCTTCTGGGAGTGAGACCCCTTCTGTGTGGATGACCTTCCCCCTCTTTGTGACCAGCCGACCACATTTCTCTAGTCCGAATGACATCCCAATGTCAGTGCTGTAGATCCTGGTGGTGTGGATCAGTGAGTCGATGTCTCGCTCACACTTGGCGTACAGCTTGATGTCATCCATGTAGAGTAAGTGTGACTGATATTGGCCCCATTTTTGAGTCTGTATCCGTAGCCAGTCTTGTTGATAACTTGGCTGAGGGGGTTCAGGCCTATGCAGAACAGTAGCGGGGACAGAGCATCTCCTTGGTATATGCCACATTTGATGGACACTTGTGCAAGTGGTTTGCAGTTGGCTTCAAGGGTGGTTTTCCACAGCCTCATCGAGTTTGCAATGAAGGCTCTCAGAGTCCTGTTGATGTTATACATCTCTAAGCATTCAATGATCCAAGTATGCGGCATTGAGTCATAGGCTTTCTTGTAATCAATCCAAGCCATGCACAGGTTGGTGTGTCGGGTTTTGCAGTCTCGGGCAACTGTGCGGTCTACGAGGAGTTGGTGTTTGGCTCCTCTGCTATTTACACCGATACCCTTCTGTGCCGTGCTCATGTGTTTATCCATGTGTTTGCTTATCTTGGCCGCTATGATGCCTGACATGAGCTTCCAGGTTGTGGAGAGGCAGGTTATTGGTCGGTAGTTGGGTGGGACTGGACCCTTTGATGGATCCTTCTGGATTAGGATTGTCCGCCCTTCAGTTAACCATTCAGGGTGAGTCCCACTTTGTAGCAGCTGGTTCATTTGGGCTGCCATTCGCTCATGGAGAGCAGTGAGTTTCTTTAGCCAGTAGGCATGGATCATGTCAGGCCCTGGTGCTGTCCAGTTTTTCATACCTGAGACTCTTTCTTGGACATCTGTCACAGTGATGGTTACCGGGGCTTGCTCAGGGAGGTTGCTGTGGTCCTCTCGTAGAGAGATCAGCCACTGTGCATTGCTGTTGTGGGACGCCTCCCTTTCCCATATGCCTTTCCAGTATTGTTCCGTCTCCAGCCTTGGTGGGTCTGCTCTGTTGTTATTGTTACCCTGCCATTGAGAGTACACCTTAGCTGGTTGAGTGGAGAAGAGCCGGTTAATCCTTCTGGATTCATTCTCCCTTGTGTATCTCTTTAGGCGGCTGGACAAGGCTTGGAGCCTCTGTTTGGCAGTCTCGAGTGATTCAGGTATGGGCATCTGCCTGTACTTTCTGGGTACTGGTCTTTTCATTGCACCCTTGTGGAGCTCTGACAGTTGGCTCACTTCCCTCCTTGTTACCTTGATTTTAGCCTCTAACCGTCTTTTCCATGGTGGGTATTGGGTCTCATGGTTGCTCTTATAGCCAAGTATCTCAAGGATCACTGATGCTGAGTTGTAGATCAGCTCATTGGTTTCTGTTATGGTGTTGGTAGGGATCGTTCTCAATGCTGCATTCACATTCTCAATGAGACTTTCAGATGGTACTTCACTCAGCCGTTGTAATTGGCGCCGGGGAGGCCTGGTTGTCATTCGGGTCATGATTCTCTCTCTCAGGTCAGCAGCTGTCTCGTTCAGCTCTGTTTCGCTCATTGGGGCCGTGTATCCCCTCACTGGGTGGGGACTTATATATATATATATATATATATATATATATATATATATATATATATATATATATATATATATATCAAATTCCCTTCTCACCCACCGCGGGTGGTTCTCATCCTCTGAGCTCGGGTCCTCTACCAGAGGACTGGGAGCTTGAGGGTCCTGCAGTATCTTGGCTGTGCCAAGGACTGCACATTTCTGGACTGAGATGTCTGATGTTGTTCCTGGGATCTGTTGTAGCCACTGCTCCAGTTTGGGGGTTACTGCCCCGAGGGCCCCGATGACCACAGGCACCACTGTGGTCTTCACCTTCCAGGCCCTCTCCAGTTCTTCCCTGAGGCCCTGGTATTTCTCCAGTTTCTCGTGCTCCTTTGTCCTGATGTTGCAATCACTTGGTATTGCTACATCTACCACAACAGCTTTCCTCTGATATTTATCCACTACAACAATGTCTGGTTGGTTCGCCATTACAATTTTGTCTGTCTGGATCTGGAAGTCCCACAGGATCTTAGCTCTGGCGTTCTCCACCACCTTTGGGGGTGTTTCCCACTTTGATCTTGGGGTTTCCAGTCCATATTCTGCACAGATGTTTCTGTACACTATGCCTGCCACTTGGTTATGTCGCTCCATGTACGCTTTCCCTGCCAGTATCTTGCACCCTGCTGTGATGTGCTGGACTGTCTCAGGGGCCTCCTTGCACAACCTACACCTTGGGTCTTGTCTGGTGTGGTAGATCTGGGCCTCTATTGCTCTGGTGTTTAGGGCCTGTTCCTGGGCGGCCAGGATGAGGCCTCTGTGCTGTCCTTGAGTCCAGCTTTTTCCAGCCATTGGTAGGATTTACTGATATCAGCCACTTGGGTTATTTGCTGGTGGTACATCCCATGTAGGGGCTTGTCCTCCCATGATGGTATCTCTGGCACCTCAACCTCCGTTCCCTGTTGTCTGAGACATTCACTGAGCACATTGTCTGTTGAGGCTTTGTCCCTGATGTATTTATGGATCTTTGTTGTTTCGTCCTGGACAGTGGTTCTCACACTCACTAGTCCTCTGCCTCCGTCCTTGCGGCTCGTGTACAGTCTCAGGGTGCTGGATTTGGGATGGAACCCTCCATGCATGGTTAGTAGCTTTCTAGTCTTAATATCTGTGGCTTTTATCTCCTCCTTTGGCCAGCTGATTATTCCAGCAGGGTATCTGATTACTGGTAGGGCATAGCTGTTTATCGCACGGATTTTGTTCTTGCCATTGAGCTGGCTTCTCAGGACTTGCCTTATTCGTTGGAGGTATTTAGCTGTGGCTCCTTTCCTTGTGGCCTCATCTAGGTTGCCATTTGCTTGTGGTATACCTAGGTACTTGTAACTGTCCTCTATGTCTGCTATTGTTCCTTGTGGGAGTGAGACTCCTTCTGTGCGGATCACCTTCCCCCTCTTTGTGATCAGCCGACCACACTTCTCTAGTCCGAATGACATCCCAATGTCAGTGCTGTAGATCCTGGTGGTATATCTATCTATCTATATATATATATATATATATATATATATATATATATATATAGATAGATAGATAGATAGATAGATAGATAGATAGATAGATAGATAGATAGATATATAGATCTATATATCTATATATATAGATATATATATATATATCTATATATCTATCTATATATATATATATATATATATATATATATATATATATATATATATATATATATAGATAGATATATAGATATATATATATAAACACCAGAGCAATAGAGGCCCAGATCTACCACACCAGACAAGACCCAAGGTGTAGGTTGTGCAAGAAGGCCCCTGAGACAGTCCAGCACATAACAGCAGGGTGCAAGATACTGGCAGGGAAAGCGTACATGGAATAACATAACCAAGTGGCAGGCATAGTGTACAGAAACATCTGCGCAGAATATGGACTGGAAACCCTGAGATCAAAGTGGGAAACACCCCCAAAGGAGGTGGAGAACGCCAGAGCTAAAATCCTGTGGGACTTCCAGATCCAGACAGACAAAATGGTAATGGCGAACCAACCAGACATTGTCGTAGTGGATAAACATCAGAGGAAAGCCGTTGTGGTAGATGTAGCAATACCAAGTGATTGCAACATCAGAAAAAATATTTGAGTGTTTTTTTGTTGAATCCTGACAGAGTGAATTCAACAACATTGGCCTGTTTGTAGCTTGGGCGATACAGAGAGCAAGAAAAAAGTGGCTTTGAGTTGTATTTCCAGTTTTTCCAGAAGTAATCAAAATTGGGTTTGTCATGATAAAGAATCTAGTTAAGCGGAAGTTGGCATGGCAGCGTAAAAATGTTGTAGAATCATCCAATATGTGATTTATTATAAAGTTCTTGAACTTCATTTTTTTAGAAGTAACAAGCTAAAACACAATGCTTATCCATATAGCACCCCTTAGGTATTGAGGGATATTATTTTCTTTGTCTGAGTAGTACCACTGTTTTTCTATTAAACTGCCATATTAGCTTTTTACAGCATTTTCTGGTTCTTTTGCGTAATACATTTAAGAAGAGAATAAAAAGCAGAATAACAAATAATGAAGCAGGCTTGGAACCCAAATAAAGCAACCTGTAAATTTTTATTCTATTATTGTAACTTCACCAGCAGCTAAACTTGCTTTCATCAACAATGTTCATAGAATTATTTTTTCCTCATGTATCTATGTCATCTAGATCAGGGGTGGCCAACCAGACAAAGACCAACAGCCACATTTTTTACCAAGTTTCTGCAAAGAGCCGCATCATATGCATGAGGACACATGAACATCAACCCATCCCTTCCTCATACTCTCATACTTTTGCTCAGCCAGATTTCTTGTAAATTTCACACACTATTTTAACACTGCAAAGACCACAGGCCAGACATTTTCAACAATGAACTCTGTGCACTTTCTCATGCAAACAAACTCTGTTTAACCAAATAAATAATAATAGAACAATTTACAATACATTTTTCCTTTTATTATTACGGAGCCCTCTAGGGGACATGGGAATTTTTTTTTCTTTTGCGTGCCCTCGCAATACTTTTGCGTCTTGCGAGGGGATGCAAAAGTATTGCGAGGGCACGCAAAAGAAAAAAATTTATCCGTGCCCCCTAGAGGGCTCCGTATATTATGTGCATTACATGTGTTATTTAATGGAAAAAGCTGAAGTGGCGCTGAAGGTTTGAAGCCTTAAAATGCAACAAGGACACCTGACATATAAGGCAGAATGGCTTTCCACTGCGTTCAACAAAAAATATCAATTCTCCCACTCTGTCAAAAACGTCCTCTGTTCATCTTCATATTTTCGTTTTCCTGTAAATTTTTTCCCTGCCATTTTGAGCGCGAAAGGTTTACTCAAATGATTTTACCCTTACTGAAAAACTGCGCACATGCGCATTTGACGAAAATACCACTTTGAACTCAAGCGAAGCGAAACTTGGATATTATAGCGACCCTACAGTATGTGCTGAATGTTATTGGATGTTACGCTGTTTAGAGATTTAAATTAGAGTGTATGATTTCCCATTGTCCGCGAATGCATCAGAATGGATAAGAGAGCGAGGGGACGGCAAGTGAGGGGTGAGCGGAGGTTTGTGTGAGAGCAGATGGTGAATGACTGGAAAGAGTAAGGCTGCAAGAGAAACAAAGACTGTTTTTTGTTTGTGTTGTTTTGCCGTGGTTACGGCCAACAGTAATGGCGTGCTGGTGTTGTCAATAAATCACAGTTCATTTGACTACTTCTCGTCATTATTGCATGTCTGGCAGAATGCGACTCTATGAACGTAAGAGCCGCATGGAACCGGTCAAAGAGCCGCATGTGGCTCGTGAGCCGCGGGTTGGCCATCCCTGATCTTGTGTGACGGCTGCTAATGCCAAAGGCCAAAAGTAGGAGTGGAGATCACGCATTCAAACCAATGGTGAAATGTACAATGAAGATTTTATTGCAACCAAAATTCAACAAGAATGCTATTGACCACATAGTACAAGAATATACATACTATGCCACTCTTAATCTCATCTTTTAGAGTTGTTACTAAACAATATGTTTTATTATTTTTAGGGATTTTTTTTCTTATTCTCACCACTTGTCCGGTATTGGGGTTCTTGTGTGCATATGGTGGTCCTCTGATATGGTTCCACATTTGGCCAGAAGTCATTATCAAGGCAAAACACTGAAATAAAAAAAATAAAAAAATTTGTCCCAGCATTTCATTGAAAATATATAAATAACACTAAATTGTTCACTTCTGATCACATTTCAAACACAAACTGACTCAAATTTTGGGTGGATTTTATGTAACAAACCTATATCACGTGCTAATTTTACCTTATGAACTTAGTATGCATAGTAAATTTCAGCGGAACATTGCAAGTACTTTACACTATAAATGCATGAAACAAAAACAAAAATGATCACATTGCAGTGACATAAAGAGTAATGTAATGAAAAGCTGGAATACAGAATAAAATTTATGTCTCAGTGAATATTAATTTCGGGCAATTCTAAATAGATAGGTTTTAGCCTTGACCTCATTTATTGGAGTTTTCTGGAAGTATGTTTCATATTAGCGGAGCATAACAACTGAATGCTGCTTCTCCATGTTTGGTTCTGATTCTGGGGATGCAGAGCAGACTGGAACCAAAACACGTGAAGGGTATTGAAATGTTGATAAAACCGCAACATATTTTGGTTCTAAGCCATCAGCAGCGATTTACAAACTTCTTTTCCCATGCTTTTTCCTTTAAGAGTCTCTCGTTGTCATCTGTCTTCACCTAAATCTATCTTCCGCATCTTCTTCTTTCACACCAGCTACATTTATGTCCTGCTCGAGTCTATCAATGAATCTCCTCTTTGGTCTTCCTCTGGGCCCTCTACCTGACAGTTCCATCCTTAGCATTCTTCTACTGATGTACTCATTATCCCTCTTCTGTACATGTCCAAACCATCTTTGTCTGGCTTACCAATTTTTTTGTCTGAAATGTTGCTCAATATAGCAAGAAAGTTGTTAAACTGGCAACAGTGGGGTCACTATTGTTAATTCTAAACATGCAGACATAACTTGGTGAGCCAGTTTGTCAGTCAAAGCTTTCTCACCGTAGAGCAAAAGAGGACAGTGGTTGATTCTTAGACCTTTGCCAAGCTAGATGAGATCGGTTGATAAGGTTGGCTTCATATGTAAAAATCGGCCAATCACGGATCTCCCAAAATTAAGGAAATTGACACAAAAAAATCAGCTGGCCGATAAATTGGTGCACTCCTAGTGTAAATATTCCCAAGGTCTCTAATTGATGTTTCCCTCTCTGGCCATTTTTCTGTCATTTTTGAAAGTGCAATTTACATTGAATCTCTTAGCCAATCAGATACAGTGGGTATGTAAAGTATTCAGACCCATTTTTATTTTTCATTCTTTGAAGTCCCATAACTGCAGGAAATCTTCCATGTCCCCAGTGACTCTGTGGAAGTAAAACTCCAGTCTAAGCCTGGCCATGAGGTTGCATCTCCACAGAGCCACAATATCAAGCTGAAATACAGCCTGGAGTCTGCCTTGCGAGACAAATAAATAGCCATTTATCTTCTCATGCTTTAGCAATTAGAAGATTTAAATCTTGCACCTTTGGTTTGTTAGCTTTGTTATACCTAAATAAAATATCAAAATAAGTAAAAATAAAACTAGTAAAAATTACACCAAAAAGGCTAAAAATACTCATCAATAAGCTAAAAAAGTATGCTTCTTACAATCACTACAAATATAAAAAACATTAGGGGACTATGTTTCTCAGCTGGCCTTGGGAACGCCTTGGGATTCTCCCGGAGGAGCAGGAACAAGTGGCTGGGGAGAGGGAAGTCTGGGCCGAAAGCTGCTACCCCCGCGACCCGACCTTGGATAAGCAGAAGAAAATGGATGGATGGATTTAACAAACAAAAATGAGTATCAACAGCCAACAGACTGAAAACCAAATGCAAAAGTCAACAAGTAGCCATTGATATTGAAGATATGACAAACATAAAGAGCCAATTTTTACAAAAATCAATTTCTGTGTGGCTTCCCGAAAATAACTTTATGAGCCTGATGTATGAGTTGTTCTTTGCCAGTTATGTTCAAAATATTTCGCCAACCTTGCTATTTTAGCATTGTTGGCTTTTGGACAGCCAGAAAAAAAAAAACCGTGCACGCAATTGTTTTTTGACCTGGCAGCAAAAATGATGTGCTCTGGGCAAAGTATGGGTGAAATATATAGAATTTCAAGCCAAAAGTATTTCAACTGTTTGACTTGTGACTTCACTATGTCATCATGGGAACATCCTCCAGCAAAAACTCTTTGTGATTTAAAGCCAACGAGATCAACTTATTTTTTGTCTTCTGACAGAAAATCATCTTGATTAGGTCAAGGTGGTTTGATATAGAGATTTCCAAGAAAAAAAGTGATTGAATGATCAGGGGTCACCAATCCGGAGCCCACGGGCACCCGGTCACCCGCAGGGACCTTGTCAGGTGCCCCCGGAGCTACTTCTAAAAATAGCCAATACCATTAGGGGGAGCACTAACAAAAAAATAATTAATTAAATGTTTTTACACTGAAGTAATGACGTTTGTTTATATTTAGAGTTCAAAAGAGGGAAATGATAAAAACATTTAAAATAAATTGCTTTATGTATAAAACTCTTTCCTGCTGTTAAAGTTCAGAACTGCGCAGGCGCCTGCAGGAAACTATCGGAGCACAGCAGCACCTGCAGCTGCACTCTGCGTACCTTCACATTTTCCTTTAAGTGAAGAAAGAAAAGAATAAATTCTGGAGTTTTTATTATTTAACTCTATTTACTATAAACAAAATTGTGAAGAAAAAAAATAATAAATTGTGCCAAAACATCTTATTCGTAGCGCACATCGCAACACCTGAACCTGGGAATCAACACCAACCTCTTTCCGTGAACCACATAAAGAGGCTTTGCTTAAACGTCTTTATTATTTAGCATCGTCTGAAAAAAAAAGTCTGCTGCTCTTGGTTCAGGTTTGTGCTGATTTTTGCGCATTGGAGAGGTGCTTGTGCTCTTGCAGGTCAGGTGCAGTGATAGTTTTGTGTTGGACCTTTATTTTTTCGACATCTGCTGGTGTCAGCCAGCGGGACCCGTCAGCTATTCAGTTCGCCAAACCACGAAAAAAGCGAATAAACCGGCGACCCGCCAGAACCACGCAGACTGTCAGAAGCTCAGGCTGAACGTAGAACAACGGGAGGTTCAAACCCAACTGGTTCATTTTTAGCTTACAAAAAAACGCAAAGCCGTGAAATAAATAAAAGCAAACTGACCAATAAGACTGAGGCTTTTGCGTTCCCCACCTCAACCCTCAGACTGATACAACTGTGTGTGTATAATATCTTTTGACACAAAAGATATTTTATTTTCCACAATTTTGCTAATAGAAGAGATGGTTAGGTAATAAAACAATAACTCTTCTTTTCTTTTTTATTTAAAGGAAAATTTTAAGGTACTCAGTGCTGTACAGCTGCAGGTGTTACTGCAACAATCCATCAGTTTGCTTTGGTTTATTTCAGTCACTTGTGGCCAGTTTAGAATCACAGAGAAAAACTCCAAAAGGGAATCAACCTTAAAACTCTGTGAGCTAAGAACTTCTGATCACATAATAGCGATTAACCACATGGTAAATTATTACTGATAACTATTGCGAGTAGTCCTGACATTAATATGATCAGACAGTATTATCATATATATATATATATATATATATATATATATATATATATATATATATATAAAAATTCCCTTCTCACCCACCGCGGGTGGTTCTTATCCTCTGAGCTCGGGTCCTCTACCAGAGGCCTGGGAGCTTGAGGGTCCTGCAGTATCTTGGCTGTGCCAAGGACTGCTGCACATTTCTGGACTGAGATGTCTGATGTTGTTCCTGGGATCTGTTGTAGCCACTGCTCCAGTGGCTACAACAGTGGCTATATATATATATATATATATAAAGTGTATTAAGTAGCCCTTCGTGTTGCTCTGTACCCGTGAAGTAGCTCCCAGTCTCAAAAAGGTTGGTGACCCCTGGTTTAGATAATGTGACCACATAGACTCATCGGGCATCCAACATAAATGACTCGTGCCAAATTTGGTGCAATTTGACCTGTGCATTTAAAGCGTTTTGTTTGCTTTGGCAAGTATGCTATGTTCGCTGTATGGCCATGCCCCCAAAATGCGCAGCGCTTTCACTGCGCAGGCTTAACATGTATAGGTGTGTGATTGTTACCAGTGCAGAAAAGGCCCAAACATTCTTGTTAAAAAGAAATTCCAAATTATTCCTTCGTAGATATGCCAGTCCACCAATCACAGCCAAGAGAAAGCCCAACAAGAGAGGCCCTGCATAGTTGGGTGGACGAATGACCCGAATCTAAGACAGAAAAACATGATAAATGATTTCTTCAATTACATTATAAGTCATATTACCCTTGTATTCAATATTTGGCTGTACTTTAGATTTCTTCAATTACAAAAGCGCTACAATTAGTAACTTCACTTTAGATTTGCAATCACTAAATCCAAATGCTTACTTGAACATCTGTCCTGTCTGCCACCCATCTGGCCAACTGGTCAGCAGAAAACCCTCTGACCTGCAACTCATAGTTGTCTGATCGGCGAGGTTTCCCTTTGGGTGGGAAGTGGAGGAATGTTGGAGCAGAGTTCATATTGAGCTGCAGAAAAACAGACAAAATGGCATGCGCATGTGAGGGCTTACACACAAATTAAGTTTAACTTATATTTATCGCGACATAAAATAAGAATCCAGGGTTCTCCTAGAAAACTTGCCAAGCCTAATGGTAGAAGGTCTAGGGCAGTCCCACTGTATTTTGGTGTAAATACAGGCTTGTCACTATAACAAATTTTACTGAGTGATTAATTGCCTCAAAAATGACTGCGGTAAGCGATAATATTGTTTGAAGGCCATTTTAAACTGATGAAATGGTAATGACATAATAATGCAAGCAATATCTTGCCAAAAATAGATACTTCATTTTCAAAAAAATATTTAACACTGGAACTAGTAAACAAAATAAATAAAATAACCAAAAATAAAAATAAAATGGAGGCTCAGTCTCATTAACAAAAAATGCACTTGAATAAAACCCAAACACAACATAAAACCAAAGTGGAAATAAAAACTACATTCAACCAAAAGAATACAGATTATGAAGTGTGTAGTAATCATTAGATTTAGATAGAGAAGATGGCCATATCCGACAACCTGATCCAATAGTTCCCTCCTCCCTTAAGCCTAATTCACACTACACAATTTTTTGCCCCAATTTTCCCCTTATGACAATTTTAGAACGTCCAACGATCGTAACCTATCTTCCTGTAGTTGTGTGTAATGTGTTACAACTGATCGGGTTTGCGGGACCGCTCTGATCCAAATCAGGCATATTCAACATGTTGGATTGTCTTGGCCTGATTACCGCAGCGTGTGTGGTTTTCCCTGACTGGGAGCGACAACGCATGAGAAAAAGGCAGGAAGAAGTTATAAAGCCGATAAATTAAAATAAGGTTGATCATTTTCATTTATTGTGATTAATATTGATTTATTGTTTATTGCGACAGGCCTTTGTGAATGTTTACAAATTGTCAGGAATTGTAATATTATGACTGTGTAATTACATGTTATTGGAAGACAGTGCTGACAATGCACACAACAACAAAGTCTTTAAAACAGCAAACACAAAAATATAAAAAATATTTTTTTGCTCTTCAGTTAATCCTATTAAAGTAATCAGATATTGTCTTAAAACTCTGGTCACACTCTGAGTGAACTAAATAGCTGCCTAGGGCCCTCAAGACCTTCAGCAGCCCCCAAATGCTTGAATTTTAACACAGACCATAGATCTACAATTTAAATGTTTGTTTACTGAGAAAGACACTGCTATTTAATGTTTTTTCACAAAGATAAATTTAAATATTTTAAAATGTCTAACTTTTAAATTTAACATTTAAAGAAATAGACAGGTTTTCTTTGTAAAACTGCAAAGAATACTCTTCATAGTTTGATTGCTGTTACAATAGCTAGAATCTGATGCTATGAGTTCAATCGTTGTGTCTGTACATAAATCCATCTGAGCAAATAGCCAATTATCGCTTTAAAGCTTCATCAAATCAGAATCTCACATTGCACCAAATCTGTATTAAACTGCTATTAATGGTGGTGATGTTCCTAGCAGGAAAAGGGGCCCCTAAATGATATTCACATAAAATTTTGGTCCAGCCCTTGTTACATTTACAATTAAAAGAAATTAAAAGAAAAATTACCTTAAATTGACAAGTATTTGTGTGTAATATACATGGGGTACAAAATTCAAGTATTTATTGAATTAAGTCTTCCTTGTTTAGTAGTGTCTGCTCCTTGGTAAGGCATTTTCACAATCATATGGGAAAAATATTACAAATACATCAAGTAAACAACTCCAGTTTATGAATTATTATCTCACCATCTGAAATACATCAGATCCTTCATCAAAATCCACTGATGCAAAGAAGATTCTGTTAGTAAAGGCAGAGGAATAATGCCAGGAGTTAGCCAGCACATGGAACTCCTCGTCAGCTTGTCTGAAAAGAGAAAAAAGTTACATTTGAATTACAGTAAAGTAGTATATGTCACAATTCAATATTGCTGGGGAAAGATCAATTTTTGGTTGGACAAGTCAAAAGAATCAATATGATATCATGAAAAACCTAAAAATCTGAAAAAGGAGGATTTACTTCTCCAGTTCAAAACAGAGTAAAATGGATCATAGTGAGTTCGCTAATGCCCTCAAATGCTGACACAGATGAGGTATCTCAAAAAAAAAAATGTATATTTAAAATATGAGACATATTGTCTCAGTAAAAAAATATTGGTCATATAATCTTGACCAATATTCAGTGTCGAAGCGATCAACATAACTATCTGGTGCTGCAGACCTCATATCATACAATGAGCCAGATAAAAGCTTTCAAAAGCCTGTCACCATACAAATATTTTATTTCAGGCAGGGTCAACCATTTAGCATCAAAATCATTAAATGGCTGTCAACTTGTTTCAATCCAGGTGAGTGGTGAGTTGTGCCATTTCAAGTAGTCTGTGATGGCAATGCTATCGTTAACACAAACAACACGCTATCCCATTCAATGTGCTTGGATCTACTTGTAAATTTATTCAGCTTTAAAAAACTTCCATTTTGGCAATCCAAAGGGATTCTTTGCCTAGCCTTATTCTGTCCATAAAAAAATAGTGCACTGTGTCCTTTTTTTCCCTACTGAGGGAAAAGATATAATACTTCCCCTCAAATTAGCTTTAAAAGTTTCCCACAGTATGAATCATCTTGATTCAAATGATCTAATTCTAAAGAAAAAGAAAGGATGGTGTGGTTTAAAATGGCAATATCGTGATATTTTACTTCACTAGTTTTTAAAGGCAATGATTTCACATCCACCATTGAATAATCAATTCATGTGGACACATAAAAGTTTTGTCTAGTCAAAATGCATTTTTAGATATCTAAAATGTAATTACGAATAGTCAGATGAAACCGAATTTATGTTAAAACGGCTTGCCATAGAACACATGCAGTGAAGGTCTTTCCACTCAGGAATAGAGCTTTGAAGCTGATGTCACGTTCACGTCGCTCGGCGCCATCTTTTGAGGCCACAGACCAAAACCGGTGTTATGCCGAGAATTGCATCCCGTCACGGGAGTGCGCATCACTCTAAACTCTCGCTGGGCCGCAGAGAAAAAGATATTCGTAACATTATCATGTTTATTTATCATGTAAGCCCTAAAATTGTGGGTTTTATTTCACAAATTAATTGAAATAAATACGGTTCTTACACGTTTATTGAGACATATTTGTCGAACGTTTTTCAGTGTCTGATGAACATGTTCTCCGCAGCTGGTTTGAAATTCCCAGCTTTTTCTTTTAACACCATAATAGCTTAAAGCTTTACAAAACCGAGGCCCATTATATAAAACATTTTATATTACGATTAACTGTCTAGTGTATTAATGTAGGGGAGATGCATTTCAATTTCTGAGCCTGCTAATATTTGCATCCCCTGTCTATTGTCGTGTTCATATGAAAATTATAGCGGTCACTCAGAGAACAAGTGTCATTACGTAGAAAAGGTGAAATCCCTCTTGACTCTTTACTTCTCCAAGTTAGCAGGGGGATGCATTTTTCGACCATATGGATTTGGTTCCTGCCAAAATTTGCATTCCCTCTATTTTCATCAAATATGATCGAATTGGTATAAAACTAATACCAGTAGTTCATAGAACTACTCTGGTTATGTCGAAAAAGTTATTTCACCCTTAAGTCTTAATTTCTCCAAGTTAGCAGGGGGATGCATTGTTTGGCAATATGGATTTTGCTCCAACCAAAATTTGCATGTCCTCTCTATTTTCCTCTGTTATGCTGATAACATGAAACTCGTAGCAGTAGCTCATAGAACTATTCTGCTTATGGAGAAAAAGTTCTGCAATAACTTCTATGTGCAGCCGCTCACCTCCAGCCCAGACCCCGTCAGCAGAGGCTTTAACCCACCTGGTAGAAACGTTAAGGAGAAGCAGAGCAAACAGTCACCAGGTGGTACCACATGGTACCACCTGGTATCACCACAGTATTGGTACCGGTGGTACCGGGGTTTCGAGCTGCATTGTGACTCGCAGTGACAGTCGCAGTACCGTGTCTTATATCAGGATGTCTGATATAAAGACAGACATTCTTTATATCTGTCGGTGGGACCGACTCAGACTGCCTGTAACAAACTGGGCATTTAGCAGAAGGATTCAGTTAATGTCGGAAGTTTTCTCTGCAGCCGAAGCATTTCTGTGTTTCGGGGGGAGGCGGGTTTTTCCCGCTATTGCGAGGATAATTACAAAAATATAGTATACAGGTTTTCTAACATCAAAATTACACGTTTTTATTCACAAACCAATGAAAGAAAAATATTCTTGCCCATAATTTGATAGTTAGAGGCACAGATCTGCTCCTCTCCTCCTCAACATGGAGCCAGAGTCTGAACAACATGGAGGCAGAAACTGAGTCATTATTAGACTGAGGGCAGCCAATCTAATATAGTAATCTTTTTTATTTAGCTAAATTATTATATTTAGGTAAATGTTATTGCTAAGGGGCACAAGCAGGCCTTCTGACATACAGATAAAAAAATTTAAAATAAAAAAAAAATCAAAAAGGGAACTAGGGGCATAAGGGATAAAAGGGGTAGGCACTCAAGTCCCCCCCGCCCCTGCCCTCTGCATGTGCCTGCACAAACTGGATGGTCTGGAAGATGCTCTACAAGGCAGCTACGATGTGGACCTTAACTATACACACCATGCTGCTGTCTTGGCTCAAAAACGTGCTCCACCCGAACTGCTGTAAGCTACGATAACTCAGCCTTCAGTCCCTGACATTATCGCTGTACCACCGACAGAGAAAAAAGGGGATGTAAGCTCGGCAGCTTGGCTGATACAATTTGGAGTCAGTCTACAGTTAACTTGCACATTGTGAAGAATCTCAGAGTTGCTTCCTGTAACTACTCATGCTCCTTCACTGGGCTGGCAGTTTTGACAGGTTTGAATCGCTGCCAACAAAAAAGCCCGGTATTCTGACAGATAAACAGAACACCTGTTAAACCATTCCAAGACGAGGAACAAAATATGTTCCTACTGTCTTTTTTCCATTCTTTTCACTTTGCCACTCCATGGAGCTTCACTCATGTTAACATAGTCCGTAAAAAATGCTCTAGTTAGTTTGCCATCTGTTGTCAAGTGGTTCATGATGTCGTTGGTGGACGGCTGGTGACAAGCTTTACCCAGAATACACTTGGAGACAATATGGACAATCCACTTGTAAATTTGTAAGTCATAAAGTTAAATGTAAATGAAGCTAGTCATGTAGCACAATATTTTATTCAATATTTTACACCCACTATATCACTAAAATCAGTCGGTCTGATCCTCAACAGGAGAGGGTCCACCTTCTCCAGCTCTCATCAGAAGGCTTGGATCCCTGAAGTCATATTCTTCATATAAAGCATATTCATATGAAGCAGGCCCCCCTAGGCCCAGCCTGGGGGCCCACCAGCCCCCTGAAGCTCCATCCCTGAGTAGTACCATTGCTTAACCTGGCCATTGCATTTCTGTGCAATTCCACTCAAATAAAATCTCGCTTTCACAGCACAATCTGGGCATTCTCTCCTTTGTTTGGACTCTCTCCTGTAGATTTTCTCCAGGGCCAATCAGTCTGCACTGATTGGGCCAATCAGTCTGCACTGATTGGCCCTGGAGAAGTTGTGAATATTTTGAAACAATTCTGGTGTTTCAAATGTCTGTTTAAAAAGGCTTTTTGATATGATAAGAATGGGTGTTTTAAAATGCTGATGTTTTCCTTCAATTGTTTTATTGTTGACGTCTTATTGCAAAACCCACTGCATTAAAATTGATGCTCTTACTTTATTCTAATGAAATTCTCACTGCTAAGGTCTCTTTTGTACTTTTTGTACTTTTGTACATTTTGGATAGTAAAATAAAGTATGATTTTCTTTTTATCATTTCTTCAGACAATAATATCATTAATGAGTACATTGTCTGCAAATGTTCACTGACCATTTAATGGTGTTTCATTTTGATGTTTGATAGACATTGTCAGCAAATGTTCACTGAACATGTCAATGTTCAAGGGAAGTTGTCTACCTGTTCAATTCTAGCTGTGGTATCATGTGTGCACAAAACAGAAATAAGCTAGTTTAGTTCAATTTTGACTGCCTACTAAAAATATTTAGCCCAATCACCGCTCTCACTTCAGACTTAGGCTCCATTTTGATATAACCCATAAAAGATAGAAAAAAATCTTAAGGTAATAGAATAGCTTTAAGACTTTGAAAATATCTGTTAACTATTTAATACTTTTCTTCTTCAAAACAGCATGTAATTCTCTCCATTTATGGTGATATGAACCGGTAAGCTTATTTAATTTCCGACTGGGGACAAAAAGATTAGAAATAATTTATGACAGATGGAGAAAGCTATTGGAGTAGAAGGTGGTAAAAATCCAAAAGAAATAACTTTACTTGCAAACGCCACATTGCCTCTGCGGCTGTAGCGCTGTGAACATGATGAACACGGAGTAGTTTCTTGGAGGAGCCTTGACAAAGCGACGAAATTTATCTCCATTCATTCTGATGACTGATCGCTTCGAGGTCCAGTCCATCATCTGAGTCACCTTCTCCGATAGCAAAGTCTGCACATATCATACACACACAAACATAAGCTAACTGCTTTGTAATAAAGCCATTAACCCTCTATTAAGCGGGTCAGTCAGTGTAAAGAATTATCTTGGAACCGCGGTTTTAGTTCTCACACAGTCCAACCTAGAAGTTAACAACCACAACTCCAGTTTGTTTAAATGAGAGATAACTAAACTCACATGTTGAAACGCGTTAGCTAGCTGTCAAAACAAGAAAAAGACAAGCGGCGGCTGTCTTTTAAAAGTTGCCAAGCATGACTCAAAATTTTGGAACTTTCTTCTGTGTGTGTTATTAACTACTTCTTACCTCTTTCTTCCTTTGAGCATCACTGGGCTCATGGCAGAAAAAGAGAATAAAAATTAGCGTTCTGTAAAGTTTCCCAAACATTCTACTACTTTGTACACTCCTATCAGCGAGGCGCCTGCCCACATTCAACGCTTCAGTTCTGTCAGCCTCCCATTGGTTGTTTCTTAGCCAATCAGAGAAAACAAGTGGGAACGAGAAGTATAAGGATATCATAACAGTACGTCAACGTTGCCGCCATATTGTGAGTACTCGTCCAGCTATTTTGGCAGGCAGTTTTAACATAAAATTGCTTTCATCGCAAGATATTTTATAATATTTTTACTAGACAAAATATCTACTGATATATTTCTAATTACATTTTGACTACTATAACATTAGATTCACCACTGAGTTGTGTGGAGCCTTCAATTCAATAAATTTACAGTGAAGTACTGACTATCTGAAATAAATAATTCAGATATGTATAATTAAATTATGACTAGTCAAAGTAATTTCAAGATATCTAGTTTTTCGTTTTGACTAGTCAATTAAAATTAGATACAAAAATGCTTTATTTATGCCAAAGGGAAAATAGTTGTTGTAACTCATTAATTCAAATTATTCAGAGTTTTTGTACATAGAGTCTGTTGGCAGGTAAGATCTCTTGTAGGAGTCTGTATTACAGACTGGAAGTGAGTGAAAAGAAAATTAGCACAAAACACAATTTTAGCTTCTTGGACCCAAGTTGCCCACTTACGTAAGACTATCAGTTGTGGTGGAAAATTGCTACAATTTAACGTCTGCTGATTATGTTATATGAAATGCTTGTGAACTTTCACCAAAAGAACTATTTGAGTTACATCAATCAATCAATCAAATTTTATTTGTATAGCACATTTCAGCTACAAGGCATTTCAAAGTGCTTCACATCATAAACACAAAGGCATGCAACATAGAATAAAATACCAAGGTTTTTTTTTTTTTACTCCCCCTTTTCCTTCTTTCTTTTCTCCCTTTATTCCCCCTTCCCTTTGACATGGAATTTAAGCGCCTGTTACCGCCTGTTACCGCCGGACTCTGCCGTCCGTTTAACCATGGGTATTCGCCGGGCCCCATTGCCCACAACAGGAAGAAAAAAAAAAAAAGATTACATACATATCCACAAATTCAAATCCATATCAATCAATCAATCAAATTTTATTTGTATAGCACATTTCAGCTACAAGGCATTTCAAAGTGCTTTACATCATAAACACAAAACGCAAAGGCATGCAACATAGAATATTCATATTACATTTCAAATGCAATTCTAAACAGGTGCGTTTTTACTTTAGATTTGAAGGAAGTCAGGGTTTCTGCTGTTTTACAGTTTTCTGGAAGTTTGTTCCAAATTTTTGGTGCATAGATGCTGAAAGCTGCTTCTCCTCTCTTGGTTCTGGTTCTGGGGATGCAGAGCAGAACCAGAACCAGAACCTGAGAGTCTGGAAGGTTGATACAACAACAGCAGATCTTTGATGTATTGTGGTGCTAAACCGTTCAGTGATTTATAAACTAACAACAGTATTTTAAAATCTATTCTTTGAGCTACAAGAAACCAGTGGAGGGACTTTAAAACTGCTGTTATGTCTCTATCTTCCTGGTTCTAGTGAGAACAGGAGCAGCAGCATTCTGGATCAGCTGCAGCTGTTTGATTGAGTTGTTGGACAGGCCTGTGAAGACGCTGTTGCAATAATCAATGTGACTAAAGACAACGCATGAATGAGTTTCTCTAGATCTGGCTGAGACATTAGTCCTCTAATCCTGGAGATGTTCTTCAGGTGATAGAAGGCTGATTTTGTTTACTGTCTTTATGTGGCTCTGGATGTTCAAGTCCGAGTCCATCACTACTCCCAGGTTTCAGGCCTGATCGCTAGTTTAGTTGTAATAACTGAAGCTGTGCATTGACTCTAGATCGTTCCTCTTTAGGTCCAAAAATAATGACTTCAGTTTTATTTTTGTTCAGTTGGAGAAAGTTTTGGCACATCCACACATTTATCTGTTCTAAGCATTTATGCAGTGATTGGATGGGGTCAAAGGTCACCTGGTGACATCGTAATGTAGAGTTGAGTATCATCTGCATAGTTATGGTAGCTAATATTATTTCCTTTTATAACCTGAGCTAGTGGGAGAATATAAATATTAAATAAGAGGGGTCCTAGGACTGAACCTTGGGGTACCCCACATGTGACCGTTGACCTCTTTGATCAGAAGTTTCCAATTGAAACAAAGAAATCCCTGTTCTTTATGTGGGATTCAAACCAGTCGAGCACCGAACCAGAGAGTCCAACCCAACTCTCCAGTCGATTCAATAATATGTCAAAAGCTGCACTGAGGTCCAACAGAACCAACACCGTGGTTCTCCCACAGTCTGTATTTATATGGATATCATTGAATACTTTGACTAGGCCAGTCTCTGTGCTGTGGTGAGCACGAAAACCAGACTGGAAAGTGTCAAAGCAGTTGGTCATCATGAGGAAACTATTTAATTGTTTACACACAGTTTTTTTAAATAACTTTGCTGATGAATGGGAGGTCAGAGGTCAGAGGTCGGCCTGTAATTCTGCAGTAGTCCAGTTGTCCAGGTTGTTCTTTTTTAGCATTGGTTTGATAACTGCTGTTTTCAAAGCCTGGGGGAAAACACCTGATGTGAGTGATGAGTTACTATTTGGATCAGATCAGTAGCAATAACAGGCAGGACTTTCTTAAAGAAATGTTCTAGAGTTATAGATCTAGAACATCCAGAGCTCTAGAACATTGCAGGAGCTTGAACTTAATTGACTTATAATTTGTTCTAGAGTTTTATAATTAAGTGGTTGAAAATGGGTCATTTTTTCTGTATTTGTTTTGTCTTGGTACAGCAATGGTTCTGGCTTTGAAGTTGATGTGCAGATTAATCCTCTGATTTTTTGAATTTTCTCTGAAAAGAAGCTGGAAAACTTGTTCCATCAGCATTAGATTCAGGTTAGGTAAACGTCACAGGAGGGTTGTGAGCCTCTCAACTGTTGCAAATAAAGTTTGAGCATTGTTGATGTTTTTGTTTATGACATCTGCAAAGAAAGCCTCCCTTGCATGTTTTAGTGTTAAGTGATAGTTACGTAGTCTTTCTTTATAGATGTCATTATGAACGTGTTGAGTTTTACGCCATTTTCGTTCTGCCCTGCGACAGAGTTGTCTTGCAGAACAAACTGTTTGTGCTTTCTTCATGGAGATTTTTGTACCAGACACAACTTTACTTTAATTGGGGCAATGGAATCAATGATATATGAAACTTTAGACTGAAAATCATCTACCAACTGATCTACATCATTACAGCTTAAGGGTGAGGAAGAAGAGTAGATTTGATTAAATGTTTCTGCTGTGTTTTCTGTGAAAGAACGTTTTGTGACAGTAGCTGTTTGTCCAAGTGGGTCAAAGAATAAAGAACCTTCAAAAATAACAGCAAAGAGACATTGGAAATATTCACACCCTTACTGATAACCAGGTCCAGTGTGTGTCCTTGAGTGTGTGTTGCTTGTTTGACATGTTGTGTTAAACCAAACTTTTCTAAAATATTAAACGTTTTTTTGCTCCTCTGTCTTGGGGTTTGTCCACATGAATGTTGAAATCACCAACAATTATTAAACAATCATAATCAATATCTATATGATTGATAGATCATTCAAGTCAGTAAAGAAATTTTCCACATATGCTGGAGTTTTGTATAAAGTTAGTGTCAAAGTTCGTTTGTAGCCTTTAACCTGAATTCCAAGATACTCAAAAGATGTGAAATGACCCAAAGACATTTTACTACAGTTTATGGTATTTTTAAATATAGAAGCCACGCTCCTCCTTTTTTATGTTTTCTATTCTCACTTAAAAAATTGTAGTCAGGAGGCGCTGACTCAATGAGTACAATTTGGTCATTATCGTCATTCAACCATGTTTCTGTCATCTGTTGTTCATGTATGTCAACAACCGATGGTGTAACCCAGGACATGTCACTATAAAGACTGTTTGGTGTTGTCGGGACCTCGAGCTACTAGTCGTTAGCTTGCGGCCATACTACCTGCCGAGGGAGTTCAGTCACGTGATCTCCATCTGCGTTTACATCCCACCGAGAGCGGACGCTACCACTGCCTGTGAAAAAATCCACTCTGTCACAGCAAGGCTACAGACAAAACATCCTGACGCTTTTATTATAATCTCTGGGGACTTCAACCATGTGACTTTGGACTCTACTTTGGCCACTTTCCACCAAGCTGTTGACTGCCCCACCAGGAATAACAGGACAATCGACCTCCTGTATGCCAATGTGAGGGATGCATACAGAACAACACCCCTCCCCCCACTAGGGAAGTCAGATCACAACCAACGAGGTTGTGATCTGACTTCCCTGTGTACAGTGGCTGTAGGTGAACGTCACCTACAGCCACTGTACACCCCCTGGTCCAAAAGCAGCCTACAACAGCTCGCTGTCAGGAGGTGGTCCCCTGAGATGGAGAATACTCTGAGAGACTGTTACAACACCACGGACTGGGATGCACTGTTCAGCCCGCATGGCGAGGACATAGAGGGGCTGACACACTGCCTGACGGACTATCTGAACTTCTGCGCAGATGTGGTATCCCCTGCTAAGACTGTCCGCTGTTACCCTAATAACAAGCCTTGGGTAACGCGGGAAGTCAAAACTGTCCTCAACAAGAAGGCTGCCTTCAGAAGAGGAGACAGGGAGGCCATGAAGGCAGCACAGCAGGAGGTGAAGCAGTGTGTGAGGGAAGCAAAAGACAGCTACAGGAGAAAGGTGGAGCAGAAGCTGAGAGAGAACAACATGAGGGAGGTCTGGAAAGGTGTGACAAATTCTGAACTAGCATTCTCTGTAGGAAACTAGAACACTGGATTTATCACAAGGAAAAAGTATTTGTTCCCCAGACAACACACCACTGACAACCCCCCCACACACCTCAGCACAACCTCCACCCCACATCACCACAGACCAGGTCAGAGAACAGCTGAGAAAGCTCAAGCCCAGGAAAGCAGCAGGGCCGGACCAGGTGTGTCCAAGGCTGCTGAAGACCTGCGCTGCTGAACTGGGAGAGCCACTACAGCGGATCTTCAACCT